GATCCCTGCGGGACCCTACTAGAAATATACCCATTTACAATTACATTGGCATTTAATCTATTTAACGTGTGCTATGTTTATTTTATATCTTTTTATTTTTTTAATCAATATGTCATGTGGTACCAAGTCAAATGCCTTACAGAAGTGTAAGTGTCTTACATCAACATGACCACCTTTATCAAACAAATTTCTAATCTCATAAAAAAAAATCAAGTTAATTTGACAGGATCTAATCTCTATAAGCCCATGTTGATTGGCAACATTTTATTACTTTTCCTTTATTAATAGAGTCCTGAATCAACTGCTTCACTATCTTGTCCAGGATCAATGTCAGACTGACAGACCTGTAATTACCCAGATCATCCTGTTTACTCTTTTTAAATAAACTCTTTTTAAATAGTCACATAACACTAGCTTTCTTCCAGTCTTCTGGAATTTCCCTGGTGTTCCAAGACTTATTGAAAATCAACATTAATGGTCTAGAGATCTCCTCAGCCAGCTCTTCTAAAACCCTTGGATGCAAGTTATGTGGACACACCGATTTAAAAATATCTATTTTTAATACTGCTGTTTAACATCATCCTGAGATATCCGTAGAATGTAAAGTGTTATCATACAATGACTACATTTTCTGTTTCCTCCCGCCCAAACACTGAACAGAAATATTTATTGAACACTTCTGCCTTTGCTGCATTATTGATAATTCTACCATTTTCATCTAGTAATGGACCAGTACCATGATTATGATACTTTTTGTTCCTAATATACTTTAAAAACTTCTCATTGTCCTTAACTCTGCTGGCCATATACTTCTCCTTGTGTCCTTTTGCTTCCCTTATCAATTTTCTACAGTTCCTAGCTTCTGTTTTATGTTCATTACAATCAACTTCCCCTTTCTTCCATTTGTTATACATAATTTCTTTTTACAGCTGCTTTCACTTCCCTCTAAAACCAGGTAAGTTTTTTAACCAGTATAATCTTCCTCCTTGATTATGGATTTTTGGGCATCTAGCAAAGTGTTCTTAAGCAATTCCCAATTATCATTCCCATTTCTCTGATTACATTCTCCCTCCCAGCAAGGCTGGTAATTGTTCCCAACCTTATGAAACTGGCCCTTTTAAAGCACCACAGATTTATTGGCTGTTCTCCTATAACCACCTTAAATTCTCTGGATTGCTAAGAAGTCAAAGCGTTTCCGTTCTCCTTAAAGGGAGTCAGGTGTTGTAAGGGCAGAAAAACACTCATCTGCCACCGGTATCTGCTTCAACACAATCCCCGCTCGCATGCTTGGAACGCCACTTGCATATTAGATTACACTATCCCGGAGCCTGTCCTTCACTCATTTGTCAGGGAGGCTCGTGATTGCAGACATGCGGCTGGTGCTCTCAGTGTAGGATCTCTGCTCCAAAGCCCCGCAGCTGCTCTTGCCAAGCAGAGAGGGGAGAAGAGCAGCCTCCTCGCTGGTTACTTTGATGGGCAGAGAGAAGTTACACAAGCAGAGGGCTATTTTCTTCAAACCATCTCACCCCTCCACCAACTCAGGGACTCTCCTAGGGCATGCGGTGTTGCTGGTGTGACAGGGGGCCAGGAACACTTAGATTTGCGGGTCCTGGAAGCAAGAGATGCTGTTTGAGTCTTTCTATTAGAAAGACACTTCCCCAGGAATCGGCTCCTGGTGATGCTTTTGCAGTTATTAACCCATAAAGGCAACATTCCCACGAAACTCGTCTGCATCTTCCATCCAGAAGGACCCTGAAGCACTTAAGTTCTCTCTACATAGGGATAGTTTCATCCAAAACTGAAGTGTAGCCACCTCTAGGGTGGAATAAGGAACCTGGTTCAGCAGTGGACCCAAACACTGCACAACCAGTTCGGGAAGAAACGGGGAGCATTGTACCCAACTGAGATGGCAATGGGATTCTGCTGCAGGTACCTAAGCTGGCAATCTTTTGCAAAAAGGGCTATGAAAACCTTACTGACTGAGCAGATGGGACCTTTGAGCAACCCAGAGACCAGGCTGTCAGACGACGAGTATTCAGGGCTGGCTGAAGGCCCTGACCTTACGGCTGCGGTGAGAAATCCAGGCTCAGGAGGAAAAAACCCAGGGCTTGCCCTTGGATAGGACTAACAGAACTGAGAGTCACACCTCAGAGCCCATGCAGGGACAGCCAGAATCACTCGGCCTTTCTCGCTGAATCCTCAGTGGGGACGAGAGACATGCATTCTCTGCCCCAGTGTAACCAACTTGTTTGGCACCACACTGGGACGCCGGAGCAGAATTGTGGATGCTTTGCAGAGATCCTCATCCGGCTGGTCCTATGTGGCAGAAAATGAATTAGTCTCAAGATCCCTGGAAGCCACTTGTGTTCACCTGACCTTGTAGTTATCTGCTGGGCCGATTCTTTCCTCCAGCCAAAGAGCAAGTTGAAGGCATTACCCCACCACGGTCGCACCAACCCCACTGACATCTCCCGTGGACACACCTCCAGGCCTTGTGCTACTTAAGTCCTTTCCCAGGGTTGTAATTTCACAACCCTGACAGCCAAGTCAACACAAGTCTCACCATATTGCCACTGAAGTGTTTATTGTTGCATGTATTATTTGTGTCACGGTAGCAGTTAGAAGCCCCAACCAAGACTGGGGGCCCATTGCTCTGGGCATTGCACATAACCATAGCATGAACTTTACAGTCTAAATACACAAAACAGCCAAAAGGTGAGAGGGGAAACTGAGGCATGGGGGGGCGGGACTAGCCCATGGTTACAAAGCAGAGCAGAAAACAGAACCATGGATTCCTAGACATCACACTGCTTTTTCAACAAACAGCTGTTTCCCCAACCCACTTCAAACTGACATGAATTACAGCACCATTCACATCACTGATCAATTTATTTCTAACAACTTTCTTGTGGGAGTCACACTTATTTATATAGCAGGTCTGAATCTGGCCAATTTCCCCTTCCCCAAGAACTACCCCACATGCTGGTTTTCAGAGACAATTAACATGCAAATTTGAAATAATTTTTAGTGATAAGGACACCAAATTATGTTAATTTGAAGCCAGGGTAAATTTTACTTTATTCTTATTCTTTTGAACTGGAAATAAGACACATTTTTAGCAGTGAGGGTCATTAACCACTGGAACGTACCACAGGTTGTGGTGGACTCTACATCACTAGAAATCTTTAAAATTGAGATTTTCTTTCTAGAAGACATGATCTAGCACAAGTTTCCGGGCTTGATGCAGGAATTTCTGGTGAAATTTTCTGTCCTGTGTTATGTAGGTGGTCAGACCACATGGTAACAATGGTGCCCGCTGGCCTTAAAAAAAAAAAAAAAATGAAAAAATCAACCCCCCCCCCAGTTTGATCATTTCCCTCCAAAACAGAACAAAACTACTCCGGTCCACCCATTTTCAAGCCAAAAAGATTTATTAAAATTATACAGATGAGAAGAAGGGATGAAAACACAGCTTGTAATATAGGATCTTAACTCTGGAATTGCTAGGAGTTTGCTCCAGAGTGAGAACTTGTTGCAATTTGGCCTGGCTTGATATTTGGTGGTTGGTGCTGGGTCATAGTATGCACACAGATGTGAAAAGAAAAGGAGGACTTGTGGCACCTTAGAGACTAACAAATTTATTTGAGCATAAGCTTTTGTGAGCTACAGCTCACTTCTGAATGCATCTCATGAAGTGAGCTGTAGCTCACGAAAGCTTATGCTCAAATAAATTGGTTAGTCTCTAAGGTGCCACAAGTCCTCCTTTTCCTTTTGCGGATACAGACTAACACGGCTGCTACTCTGAAACCTGACATAGATGTGAAACATGCAGGGCTGGCAATCAGTGGGAAAATGTGCTGGACCCCTATAGAACCTTTGAAAGAAAGAAGGGGTAGTGTAGTAACTAGAAGAGCATTGATTCTTTGCATGCCAGGGTGGCAGGTACACTGCCAACCCGCATTCAGAGTGGCAGAGTGATTGGAAGTCGTTTAAACAGACGACAGTAGTTTCCTCTTCCAAACCTGATATTGTAAGTGAAAGATCAGAAAAAATATGAAGGGTTAAAATGGTGTAAGTCTATCCTCCCCACCCCCCAAAATAAATAAAATAAAATAAAGAACCACTGGGAATTCTGTCACAAAGACAGAAGGGGATTGAAATTGACAGGATTCCTGCTCCCAGCACTTCAGAAAGCAGGAGTCTTAGCAATTTCAAATCCCCTGCTGGCTCCCAAGAATGGAGGCGGGCGGGAGATGGATAGCAAGGAGTGCAGTGTGTGTTTCTTTTCTCACCACCCTAGGAGCTAGGGTCTTAAAACCCATGTAGCCTTTGTTTTAAAAGGGGCTGCTACGTAAAACAGAGATACAAGGCCACTATCAAAGGGACATGTAAAAAAGAAAGGTATTTTCAGGGGGAGGGTGTGAAAGTCAAATTTTAGGCCAGTTATAATGACAACAGCATCCTAACCACTGTATCCTACCTTGGTGCTGCGATGTGTCAATTACTCACTCATTATTGAACAGCTGGATTCTGATTAGCTTATAAAAGAAATTTGTGCTTTTCCAACCAGGATCTTGCAAGATTATCTAGAAAAGCACGAATTTTTTATAGTTTGCCCCCACTCTGGTTCCCTCTTTTAAATGGATAGGATGGGTGTCAGCTCTCATGCATTCATTCTCTGACTTGCAGGATGGACTGGTGTGCCCAGCCAGGGGCCATCACCCATGAATGGGCAGTTTGTTAATTAAAAAGTATGCTGTGGTTTTACAAATATGCAGTTTTCTGACTGGCAGAGCAGACTTTTAAGCTTCATTCATCAATGAATGACAACTGGCTGCTGAGTAACTAGCTAACCACAGGTTTTGTGTGCTACATAAGAGGCCATATTTATCCTGACTGCAGGGCAACACGGGAAAGGACAGTTACTTACCTTACAGTAACTGTGGTTTGAGATGTTTTGTTCATCAGCAGAACATAAGAGGGACTCACATGGACAAAGATTCAAAGAAGAACTGAGACTTTTTGTATTTAGGGTTACATCCTCCATACCAGAAATAAAACAACAGATTCACAGCTTAATATTACACTTGTATTTAACTTATTTTCTGAACAGTTAAAATAATAAAAAACCCACACGGTTACCATGATCCTAGTTCAAGTGAACATTAGTACATTACCTACACGTCACGGTAACATAATCACAAAATTCAAAGCACTCATTACTTAAGAATCTAGAGAACAAATATAGCAGAGTAACAAACAGAAAACTCTGAAGAGACCATGTTCTTTCTACCCCTTCCACTTTCACGCCCACCTCCATCTGAGCCGTTTAAAAGTGATGCAGCACAGGCTGGACAATTGGGTGCTCAGGGGTATTAAACAGCTACACTGTAAAAGTAATTACAAGTTACTGGATCAATTACCTTTTGTCGGTTACCAGTGACTTTTGCATCATGACTATGGATGGAATTAGCAGCCCAGCGTCTCATGTCGGAACACCAAGGAAAGGAGCTGAAAGTGGGGTTACACTCAGAGGTGACAACATAGAGTTCCACATTGGTTGTCTCAATTAGTTTCACAGCAGGACAAATCCTTTTTACCAGCCAGCTCACTAGCACGGACATCAACTTGGGACCTGACAACAGAGGTGGGTCACCCTCTTCCAGGAGTAATGATTCAGCAAGTAGAACTTTACTAATAATTAGCTCTGCACTGCTAACAGGATCAACACATTTTACCAGTGAAGTCAGCAACTAGGATTCAAAGACATGCAGGCAGCAGTCATGTTGAGTAAGGAGGACCAAATTTTACCAAGTCACTCTTCTGGCCATAATAATTTAGGAGTCACTTGAAAACTTCTCAGGGTGGCCCATTGCTAAAATGTAACCAGTAGCCAGGGGCAGTATTGTAAGGGGCCTGCGGTGAGCAATGCATCCCTAAGGTTACATCCACGGAGCCGCTGGGAGTTCTAATTCCCAGCTTGGGTAGATGGATACACTAGCTCTGCTCGAGTTTGTACCTAAAAGTGGCAGCCTGGCTGCAGCAGCATGGGAGGTGGCTCGGGCTAGCTGTGCGGGACCGTACCCAGGGGGGTCTGCTCAGGCATGGCTGGAGTGCGTGTGTCCCCCTCAAGCTGAGAATTAAACCTGTCAGCGGGTGTGCACACACACGGGGCTTGTCTACACTTGGAGCGGTGCAGCTACTAGGCAGCCCCCACCAGCGTAGGGACTCCACCCCCCAAGAGACAGCAGCTAGGGCAATGGGAGAAGCCCTCCCACCAACATAGTGAGGTGGGTATAATGTCGTCGCTTGGGGGGTGGGTTTCCCACACTCCTGAGTGACGTCGTTACACCAGTGTAAGCTGGTAGGGCAGACCAAGTGTCACTAATGTTATGGACGTGTGTTGAACAGAACTGTAACAGCACGAGCAAATGGGGACTGAAATCTAGCTGCGTGGAAGGGTGCTCCTGGTCCTAGGCAGACAGAGGAGCTAGCCACCAGGCTGTTTGGCAGGGCACCTAGAGGATGATTTAAAAGGTAGCAAGTGGGTAGATTCCTGAGCCAGATTAGGTATCACACGGTATGACAGGGTGCCCAACCTCGGACCAACTGAGGGCTGAGTTGGGAACCTGCCAGCAGCAGCCGAAAGACCAAACCTTACGTGAAAAAAGCCTCAGAATGCAGCTGGCAGTATCTTCAGCAAAGAGGTGCAGCTGTCAGAGCTTACAAGTCCCAGCAGGCCATCTTCCATCTCAACCCAAGTGCTGGAGGCTTGGCTCAAGACGGAGCATTGCATGCTGGGACCTGTAGTCTCCCTGAGCAGCACTCCTCCATAGTGAGGGTAGGGTGACCGTGGACCACATGGACGAAAACCAGCAGGCAGTCACAGGAGAGATTTCACATGCAGGCCCTGCCTCTGAAGGTGCAGCTGGGGTCACCTGAAGTTACCCTCTCTCTGCAAATCTTGTTGCTTGTGGTGAGGTGGGAGTAACAACAAGGCAAAGCTCAGCAAGATAAACGCATCCTGCATGCCGCAAGAGGCCCCTGGTAAAGTTCTCTTTGGCCGTTGGTATTCCCAATGACTGTATTTCAGATTGTCCTCCCGACCCCGAAAGGGTACAAAAAAAGGGGAGTCAACCAATCCGGCAATTCTAGGAAGCAGTTGTTTCTGACAAGGCTTTTTTACCCTCTCCTACACAGAAGAATCTCCTTCCTTCTAAACCAGCTGCACACTGTAGAGCAGTGCACAATCTAGACCAGGGCCATGACATCTGTTCAGTGTAGTCCCCACCTTCGCAGAGGGGCCTCTCTCCCCTCCCCTTTCCAATCCCCTGGGCTGCTTCCCTTCCCTTCCCTTCCCCTCCCCTCCCCTCCTGCAGGGGAGAGCTCATTTGCAAAAGAGCCATATCCCTGCAGCAGCCAAGCTGGCTCCTCTGCTCCATTATCAGCTGCTGAGGAGGAGGGGAGCTAAGCATCATCCCCCCAAATGCTCCATGGACCAGTTCAGGAATCCCGGGTCACAAAAGCAGACCTAAAAGGGAGCTGAAGGAAATCAACGGACACTTGAGTGACAGGCCCAATCCTGACAGGTGCTGAACACCCACAACTCCCAACCGGACTTCGGGGTGATGAGAGTCTCAGCATCAGGCCCAATGTTCTGTTCAGACAGTGCGGGGAGGAGAAAGAGGAAAAATATGCACCATACTCTCCAGCTTTTGAGTGTACAGGGATTAAAATACAGACTGAAGGATCCTTTCAATGCAGGGACAGGTGGATGGGAAGGGGAAGCACGGCGGGCCACATCGTCTTCCAGTTCAGAAACAAGTTTAAAGTATTTTGATGTTCACAATGATCAGACCTCAACTCTCACCACCTGAAACCCTCAGTTCCAACAGCATGTGTCCATCCCTGGAAGTTAACAGGGAGCAGAGGAACAGCTGCAAAGGTTCTCGGGGTTTGCATAGGTTGACATGAGCAGCTTTCCTCCTGGGATCAGAAACCCGCAGGTTTGCAGCAAGACTCCCTCCTGGCCTCTAGCTGCCCTGGAGTTGCAAACTGGCGTTGGTGACACTGTAATGGATTGTCTTGCTCTTACGTCCCACCTCGTTTCCAGTCCCCAAGTCCAAAAGGCAAGACTCTCGTGGGAGAAGTGACAGTCTCGATGCAGCAGATGTATCTCATTTCAAATGGATGTGCAACACATGAAGTCCATGGACACCTCTAGCCCTTGCTTTTAGCTCCTTTCAGCAGGCTAATTTCATTTTTCTTTTCTTTTTAAATGCTGCATTTACTCCAGCCCTGTTGGGGATTACGCAGCCAATTCACATTGAAATCTTCACACACAGATCCTTAGTGGAGAAGGTAGAAAGCCACCTTGGTCTTGACATGAAGGTCTAATAACCACATTATTCCTCCTATGCTGAACAGCAGATGACCCCAAGGCTGGGAGCTGTGGCAGATTTGAGTTTCTTAGATCAGTTTCCTTCTTAGACATCAGAAGGAACTTGGGATTGGGGTAGGATTCTCCATTGAGCTATTCTGTATTTAAGTACCCAGACATAGTCCCTCCTGAAGAGTCAACCACCACTCTACTATACACCATACAAAAAAAATAAAAAATAAAAAAATAAAAAAAACCCAACAGTGCTTAGAAGTTTCAAAATAGCAGCATGGAACAGCAGGGCTAGGACAACCAATGATGATTTGCAACAGTGTTGTCTCCATGTTTGGCCAGTAAGCATTCTGCATCTCCCGAAGTCCTCATAACTAGCAAAACAAACTCCACACTAGCAGGCACCGCCCCCAAGGACAGTGATAAAACAGTGAGAACATCTCTAGTATCCAAGGCGAAGAGTCATGATCGTCTAGCACAGCCTGTAGCCGAAAAGCGACAAGACAAATGGAGGAAAGAAAAGCTGTTGAGTCTGCAGCCAGCTCCATATATATGTCCACTCTCACACAGCCACACTGCAGTTTTGTAACAACTACACCAAAAGGAGCTGTGTTCAAACAACATTAAGGATGAGACTTGGAACTCCACTTCAGCCGGAGCAATTCAGAGCGAAAAAAATGATCCACCCGTCTCTGCCCATGCTTTGGGGATCCAGCATGTCTGATCACCCAGTGACCTCGGCAATAGTTCAGCCTAGTATTAAGGATAAGCCTTTGGTCTTGACTCAGCATTTCTTTGCCTCTGCCCGTCTGAGTCAGACCATGAATGTTATCTGAACGGAGTTAGTTTATTTTGCTCTTTTTACAATAGTAATTTAAACAAATAGAAAGTCAGAGGCATGTCAATGACCAGCTCTGACTAAGAGGCTCTTTAGAGTCGCTCTGGGTCCTAGGCCCTCCTGAAGACATACGAGAGCTGGGTGTTTCTTTTTGCACTGATTCTCACGCTCCTTTGGAGCTGTTCTGAGTACTCTGAGCTCTACCAGCTCTTCCAACGTCTCCACTGCCTTCCCATCTGCTAGCTCCTCAAGTCACCGAGAGCGAGTCTCGTATATTGGGCTAGTCACTTGCAAAAACGTCGCTGGTGGAAAAAGGACAGCAAAGCTAGTTAGAGTGATGCAATCGTGACCACCGGCAGAACAAGGCTGGCGAGAATGTACCAGTCAAATCTCCCATCTGCCAAGTTCCAACCTTAGAGCTGAGGAGATAAAGGGTTCTAGTTTCCCAGTGCAGGACAGGACAAACTCCCAGTGAAGGCAATGGGTGTCGTTCAAGACCTGCAGTGGGAGAACTGGGCCTAAGGTTTGTACCAGAAATTTTGACAGACCCTCAACTGAGGTTGGAATGACTGGAGAGTATTTCATTTAACCCTTCCTCTTCCAAAAGCAAGGCCTTTCGGATTGCTGTTCCTGCTGCAGTGGGGAAGCCAGCGCCTGCGGGGTCCCCCACTGGCCCTTCTGGTCTAGCTGACTGGCTGAGACGTGGAGAATTGCTCCTCGTGTTCTGCCTGCCAGCGGGATGCTCTCCATTCTGAGCCACAGTAGTTCTCAAAGGTCTCAGCTAGCATGTGAAGAGTCAGGGTGATTATCAGACATGGGTTAATTATCGTCCTGTTCCTAAACTGTAGTGCAGAGAAGGCTGGGGCTCAGGAAGGTCACAAGGCTCATCTCCCTCGCCCGCAGTGGGGACTGGCAGCGCCAGCCCCCAGAATTACTGCAGAGCTGGCCTAGAGGTACAGCCAGCTGGCCAAGATAGACCATCCCACTGGTTAAACCAATGAGAAAACACGCATGCCTGTCCCAGCCAACTGGCTGTATCTGCCCTATCAGCCACAGGACCCAACCCGGCCATGCCCTCCTGGGTCACAGTACACCATGCTGGCCACTGCCAGAGACAGGATGTTGGGTTACTTGGGCCACTCATCTGACTCACTACAGCAGCTCTTATATTCTTATTTAGGGATGTGGTCAGCCACAAAAGCCCCCCAAAGCTGGGCTAACAAGGTCCTCTGCGGCTCCCTCTTCCACCCTCTGGCGGTGGCATCTCCTGGGGGAGGAGGAAAGAGGGAGCCAGAGTCTTCTCCTCACCCCAGCCTCACGTTTCTATCTGATCAGAAGTAGAAATCGTAAACCATTAACAAAATCCGCACGGCCTTCGGGGCCAGTAGCAGGAGAAACAGACCCCTGCCCTGGGTACAGAGAATGTCTTTGACAGTGAAATACTGCCTCCTGCCCTCCTGGAACTGATTCCCACCCCTAGGCAATATGGGACTTGGGCAGAAGCCAGTTTAGCCTTTTGTGGACTGGCACTGCCCAGACTGGCAGCCCAATGACTGTGGAGGGAAATTGCAATACACATCCAGCCTCTAAAGAGTTAGAGGGACAAGCAAGAGATGAAAGCAAGAGGCGGATTTGGCTCCAAATTGTCAGCTTCAGATGCCGAATAGCTCCACAAGCCCCACTTTCCGGACAGAACGCCCAAGGCAGCAGGGGCTCTCACCTCCTCTCCAACACGGCGTTTGTTGCTTTTCAGAGTCAGCAGTTACATGGTCTTACAAAAGCCCAGCAATGATGTTGTTTAATATTCTAAGCAGCAGCCCCTTCCCCCCCCTCGGAAGTGACTCTCAGCAGGATGCACAGTGGCAATGAGTCTTCTGTTTAACACCAAAGCAACAAATTCTGGCAACACGTTAAATATATTTATAGGACATCTGTGACTGGGGCAAGAGGGAAAAACAGGGGAGTGAGGACGGGAGTGGCTAGGCAGAGGGGAAAAGGAAGAGGGCTGGTTTAAAAACGTTAATCGTTCATGAAAGACCAAAGACATCTTCTGATATAGCAGCACTTCAGCAGTCAGCTGCGCTGAGCAGACCCTGTCGGAGATCAACCGCAGGCCAACTTTGTTCTAGAAATGAATCTGAGCGCCTCTCTCTTCCGCAAGGATTGGTTACGTGGATAGTTCTTTTGTCCCGGCATTGGCAGATAATTTAAATACTGCAGCTTAAACGAGTTCTGAAAAAAAAGGAACAAGAAGAGCCCTTTTTTGCACCAAACTCATCCTTTTAAGGAACACCTCTCTCATTTCCCGTGTATTCTGAGGAGGTGGCTGGTGCTGGGTTGAGAGCTCTGGAGAGTCCAGGTGTATTTACACACTGAACAGGGGGCGCACAGTGCAGGTGTTGACACCAACTGCTGCTCCCACGCCCTGTCACAGAGAACCTGCCTCACCCCCGCCAGTGAAACTAAACTGCCACCCAGGGCGCAAAGGCAAGGATGGCAGATACGCTAACCACAGGGTACAACCCAAGCCCATCCTAAGCAGCACCCTCCATAATACCCCACACACCTCCAAGTCAAATCCAGCTCGATGATTAATCTGGTCATCCATTAAGATCCCCCATAACAGCCTAGAAGTGGTAACTCTCCTTGCTGGGATAAAAGCTAGAGGGTTAACACTACACACACACAGGCAAAGCTTGGTCTTAGCAGCCTACAACTCATGCGGCTAGGGCGTTGGGCCTTATGAATAGATAATACTATACATCAGCAAATTTCCATTTAATCAGGCTGGACTCGCTCGTCTGCACCTCCTCCACTGGCCAAATCCATTATCCTGCATTCCCCAACTTTGGGAGAACGGAGCCGTCACTACCTAGGAGGAAGTGCAATTGCCATGATTTGGCAGAACCTTCTAGCTTGGTGACAACTGCCCAGTATCAAACCACCTGCACCCCCATGTTAAGCAGCAGCTCCTCCATTCACTCTGAAGAACCTCCCCCCGCCCCCCTCTTCCTGGCTGGGTGGCAACAACTGCTGATTTAATTGTTGAGGGGAAGCTGTGCCAAAAGGGGAACTGGGTATAAGGACTGCAGGTGCCACATGCCAGGAACCCTTCAACAACTCCTGCTCGAAGGTACCAAAAGGTTCTCTGCCTCCTGGAGGGATAACTACCACCAGCCAAGATGGGAGATACTGACCACCCAAACAAATCATTCCAGCTCAACGTTTGCCTCTTCTCCCCAGTGCCCACATGCCCTTGTGCCCCGTTTTTACCTGTGCGCGTGAGGTACAGTGTAGTGTTATTTATCTGGAGATGTAAGTGTATGTTCTGGATGGGGAGCGGGTCGATTCTGCTTGGGCAGCTGGGTCATTCAGGAAGTCCCACATGAGGATTGTGTCATCGTGCGAGCTGCTGATGATCTGGAATTCGTCGAACTGGAGTCGAAAGACTCTCCCAGAATGCTCCTAACCGGGAGGGTCAGAGAGACAGCAGGGATTACTTTACAGACTGCCTGGCTGCTGGGAATGCATGGTGAACATTAATAATTGATTCAGTTTTTGGTCAGTAAACCCTATATGGCTACTGTGTGCCATTATCTCTGTGGTACAAGCTAGTTGCGTAAAAGTACATCTGCCATATTTGGAACCTGGCCCTTCAGCAGGGAACACACACCAGAGCAGACACCTGCATGGAGACATTGCTCCCTGAGCCCCATGCCCTTAAACCGAGCACTCCTCATAGGACAGCTCTTCTCCAGAGCGGCTAGGTGTGGCTGACAGAGCGATAGCCTCATACCTCCTATTATGCAGCTCAGCACTGCCTCCATAGCATTTCCACCAGCAGTGGGTTATAGGGGAACAGGGACAGTTTGGCAATTGACCAACCTGATTGCCTTCTATGATGAGATAGCTAGCTCTGTGGATACGGGGAAAGCGGTAGATGTGATATATCTTGACTTTAGCAAAGCTTTTGATACAGTCTCCCACAGTATTCTTGCCAGCAAGTTGAAGTATGGATTGGATGAATGGACTACAACGTGGATAGAAAGCTGGCTAGATCAGGGTTCAATGGGTAGTGATCAACGGCTTGATGTCTAGTTGATAGCCAGGATCAAGCAGAGTGCCCCAGGGATCGGTCCTGGGGACGGTTTTGTTCAACTTCTTCATTAATGATCTGGATGATGGGATGGACTGCACCCTCAGCAAGTTCGTGGATGACACTAAGCTGGGGGAGAGGTAGGTACGCTGGAGGGTAGGGATAGGTTCCGGGGTGACCTAGACAAATTGGAGGATTGGGCCAAAAGAAACTTGATGAGGTCCAACAGGGACAAGTGCAGAGTCCTGCACTTAGGACAGAAGAATCCCATGCACTGCTACAGACTAGGGACTGAGTGGCTAGGCAGCAGTTCTGCAGAAAAGGACCTGGGGATTACAGTGGATGAGAAGCTGGATATGAGTCAGCTGTGTGCCCTTGTTGCCAAAAAGGCTAACAGCATATTGGGCTGCATTAGTAGGAGCATTGCCAGCCGATCGAGGGAAGTGATTTTTCCCCTCTATTCAGCACTGGTGAGGTCACATCGGGAGTATTCTGTCCAGTTTTGCGCCCCCCACTACAGAAGGGATGTGGACAAATTGGAAAGAGTCCAGCAGAGGGCAACGAAAATGATTAGGGTGCTGGGGCACATGACTTATGAGGAGAGGCTGACGCAGAAGAGAAGAGTGAGGGGGGATTTGATAACAGCCTTCAACTACCTGAAGGGGGGTCCCCAAAGAGGATAGATCTAGGCTGTTCTCAGTGGTGGCAGATGACAGAACAAGAAGCAATGGTCTCAAGTTGCAGAGGGGGAGGTCTAGGTTGGATATTAGGAAAAACTATTTCACTAGGAGGGTAGTGAAGCACTGGAATGGGTTACCTAGGGAGGTGGTGGAATCTCCATCCTTAAAGGTTTTTAAGGCCTGGCTTGACAAAGCCCTGGCTGGGATGATTTAGTGGGTGCTGGTTCTGCTCTGAGCAGGGGTTGGACTAGATGACCTCCTGAGGTCTCTTCCAACCCTAATCTTCTATGATTCTATCTATGAATTGATCCTGAGTCTCCTGCTTGGCACTGTTGCTACTGCTGAAGGAGGAAACAGCTTAAAATGGAAGAGACAAAGGGGACCATTATAAAGTCAAAATGACATTGTAATGATTCCTCCTAAGCAGTTCTAAACGTAGCCGCAGGAAAGGCCCTTCTTTAGAGGCAGTTTGTATTCTTCTAGGAGGCTGAGTGGAAAGAGTATGGCAATCTATGCCAGATCCTGCACATTGTAAAGCACAACTCACTACACTTTCCTACATGTGCTGGCTAGCTGTTATTGGTGCTCCCTGCTGCAGGCGTGGGCAGCAGCTTCCCTGGTCAAAAGGGATTGCAATCAAAACCAGCGCAATGCCTCCTGACTTTAGTATCAGTACGTGGCTCCTTGTTATGCCTTCCACGCTGCCAGACGTGGTGTAAAGAAAACCAAATGTGATAAGATATTCTAACCACGACAGCTAGTTTTAAGATGGGTAAATCACAAAAAAATGAAAGGTCTCTCAAATATACTCATCAACAGAACAGTTGCCCACCGAACAAGAAGCTACTGTTTTGACAGAGCAGGACTCTGAAATGCAGCTCCTTTTTGAATGCAAGGAAAAAGGACCGTTTCATAGTTGTAAGGCAAGTTCTGTTTTGTTTTAAATAAGGTTTGTCTTACAAGTAGCATCCTTAGTTTTAAAATTCTAGTTAATTAAACAGACAGATACTCCAGGAGTCTGGCTTGGCATGTATTCAAATAGGAATGGTGTTTCGTGTGCCCAACAGACTAGAGCTCCTGCTGGGGAAAGTCACGACAATAGCAGGTGCCACAAGGAGACTGAAAGAGACAGGTACTTTGAAAGACTGCTTTGAAAATGAACTTTTCAATCAGTGTTTACTAAATGAAATCCCTCTACCTAAAGATCCTACGCACTGATCACTCTACTTGCCCTTTAAAATCACAGGGGCAGCTGGTGTGATGCACGCTTCCCATTGTAAGTTAAAGCCAAAAGAACCTGGCCTCCTTAGCTTGAAATGTAAAGCTGCGCCATACTTATTTCTCAGCTTGGGAAGCTGCTGTCAAGCTTATGAGGCTGTTGTTCCATCCAAAGGAGGGAAAAATGAAAGGAACTGGCACGCAGCGAGCATTTGTTATCTGCAGACTTTTCTCCTACTGCTTGAAAATTGAACACAAACAGCAGGAGGCTTGCAACGTTTATTGAGAGGTTTCATTTTGGAGGACAAGGGAAGAAAAAAGAGCATGAATAATCAGATACTAGGATGCTCTGCAGTTACAGGCATGAAAGACCCTAAAAGTAATGCTCCATGCCCTATCTTCTCCCCTTAGCTCGCTCACTCCTACAAATGGGGATTTCTAGGCATCCATTCACAGATTCCTACAATGTTTTCATCCCACAATTTCTGATTTATAATGCAATTATTCAGGATACCTGTATTTTTCACTGCCGGAAAATGCAAATGGAATTGCACTAGTTAAATTAAGCCTCCCAGGTTAGCAGAAAAACCACAGTGCCCAAGCAGGGTCTAAGATTGGAACAGGATCAACACTGTTAATGTATGGTTTCAGAGTAGCAGCCATGTTAGTCTGTATTCGCAAAAAGAAAAGGAGTACTTGTGGCACCTTAGAGACTAACAATTTTATTTGAGCATAAGCTTTTGTGAGCTACAGCTCACTTCATCGGATGCATACTGTATTTTCCACTGAATGCATCCGATGAAGTGAGCTGTAGCTCACGAAAGCTTATGCTCAAATAAAATTTGTTAGTCTCTAAGGTGCCACAAGTCCTCCTTTTCTTTTTACTGTTAATGTATGGAAGTCTCAGACTCTCTGGGTCTGTATATTCACAGGCACAGGGCCGCTCCATGGTTTGCAGCTGATACATGACAAAGGGGTTTTTTGGGTACGAGCCATTGCACTATTTGCAGTTCTGCTGTGCTAACAAGTGGGGCTTCCAATGTATTGCTTGAAGACATGCCATTCAGCAACACACGGGAGATTCCTCTGAACACTAACTTCGAGAACTGGCGAGCTTCAACACGTGGAAGGTTTACAGCCAAGGAAATGGCCATAGAACCCCAGAAATATGACCAGGTTTGACATACACTAACGCCACTGAAGCCTGAGTGTTTCTCTCCCCAAAGCCAGTGCTTTAATGTCCTCTTCTCTGACTTTTCAAAGTGAACTGGATGCTGAATGCCACAGAAAAAGCACAGCAGTAGGCCAAGCTTCTTCTGGCCTCTTGCTAATATATCTCAACTCTGACCTAGAGGGATCACCCCTAAGACCTTGTCTGCACTGGCATTTTTCTTGAAAACCTTCCCCTATTGCTCTACAACTAGTGTGACTCTGCTGAAAGCAATAGCCAATGGCACTTTTACCATCATCATTTAGACCCACACTGAGCACCAGTGGGAGAAGAAAAATGCTAGTGTAGACGAGGCTGAAGGGTTCAGCGCCTGCGGCCCACTCTATCCGAGGCACCTCTGCTTAGATTTCCAAGAAGGGAGCCAATTAGTGCCAGTTGTGATGTTTTTGGTCCTGTGTCTAATAATCGATGCCAGCAACTCGGCCTCACAAGCAACCCTACAATAAACACAACCCAGCATGTGGGTGCTAAAGAGAAAATGTCACAAATAGATTTTAGTTATGAACTTAACATCAATTTTAAAAAGGGATGAAAGCACTTCTTTTAACTACCCCTTTTAACAACAATAGTCTGGCAACATTAAAAAACTGCCAGAGAGAAGAAAGAGGTCCAGGAAAAGTCCTGGTCACTCAGCAGCACATAGATTATGCAGGTTCCAGACTAGCAGCCGTGTTAGTCTGTATCCACAAAAAGAAAAGGAGGACTTGTGGCACCTTAGAGACTAACCAATTTATTTGAGCATAAGCTTTCGTGAGCTACAGCAAAGCTTATGCTCAAATAAATCTGTTAGTCTCTAATAGATTATGCAGACTCCATAGGTATGCTCAGAGGAGGGTATCATGCCCTTGAGGTCAGACCCTCAGCTGGTGCAAAGTATCACAGCTCCACTGACTTCCAATGTTTGAAGTGGTGACAGGGGTGTTCAGGAGCGGAACATTCTCCCTTGGGACTGGCACTGAGCTGATGCCCTGGTGTATCGTTAGGGGCTGCCGAAGAGGATTCCTTACTGTGTTAAAGGTCCCATGGCTCTTTTTGCAAGGCTCTGGTTTGAAAGTCTTTCTGGGTGAAAGATCCCATAATACCTTACATTCAGACACGCCTACAAGCCTGCCCTTTGGGGCCTATCATCATCTACTTCATCTGAAACTTGTCTACAACAGCTCAAGCTTTCATGGCGTAATACAGCTTTGACAAAGGCTGTCCGCCCCCACCTTGAAACCCCCCCCCCCCAACCAAAAGCTCTTACCACGAGGGTTCGCAGACAGAGGGTCCCAGCTGGAGCACGTGGGTCCAGAGCAGCCACAAGATCCCACACTTTAATTTTCCTGGAGAGGAAAGAGGGACAAGCACCAAAGCTTTGTTACAGAGAAAAGTTTAAATGGTTCATCAGCAATTAAAGTTAACAGCTTAGATAATACATCCGGCTCATGGAAACATACAGAAACCTTTTTGCTCTTGACACCTGGCTCTCACATGCTCTCTTGGGTAAAGCCTGCTGATCTTACAGGTGAAAGTATATGGTTACCATACAAATCAATTACATAAAAAAGCAGGTGACAGTAACTAATGTAGAAACCTGGGTGAAGGTTAATGTAGACACTTCCTCCTTAATGGCAAACAGGCCAAAGGCAATGAAACGGAGTGATCACAGCTGTGAGAATGCATTTGGGTTTATACACAGATAATGTGACACATTATATAAAGCCTCTTGCTGGACAAGAAGAAAAGCGTGTCTAAGTCTCCACAGTGTGGATTCATCCCCTCCTTCAACTGGTACAAGCGCGTCCCTTCCTCCTAGAATGTAGGCAGGCAGGCAGGCAGGCTAGGATTGCTCTACCAGGGCAAACTACTGCTATGGGCAGCCACAGGCAGGTTCCACAAGAACCACGAGAGCTCAAGCATTTCAGAAAACAGGACACATTCAGTGGGGAGGAAAAGGTGCATCTCCATTGCTCCACAGCCCAGGCATGCCACTGCACTGGTATCCAGCTTGCTAGAGGTTTGGGGTTTAGCTATAAAGCTGGGGTGATGACACCCATGTCTTAGCATTAGACTGCACCAGATCGTAATGTGAGATTTATTACAGAAAATCAAACAGGGCTGGGCTGGAGATTTCCCTCACCCTTAAGCCGTACGGTCACCCCTAGAGTTCAGTCACATGCCCTCCTCCCTTGTACAATGTAGTGACTATCTTGTAGTATGAAGGGTGCTAACAACAGGATGGGGGAGAATGAAGTGTGGGAACCCACGCACCCTCATTTAAACCAGTCTGCAGGTGTAGGGCTGGAAGAGAGTGGGATTCTATACACTAGTAGAGGGACTCCCTGCCCAGGAGCAAGAAGCTGACTTGCTAGCACAGGGGACATGCTATCCAAATTAGTTACACAAGACCCCAGTGTAGCTCAGAGTTATTCAAGCCTGGAAAAGGAAAGTCAGCTCTTCCCCAAGGGAGCCTGGACACCAGCAATGTACCAGGAAGCTAGCCCACCATAGCATATACAACCTCCGGAGTGAAGTAAGCCTCTTCCTCGTGCCACGGAAATCTGGCTAGCTGCAGTGGAGAGTGCTGGAAAAGGACCCTGCTCTTTGGAGTCCCTTTCACAGCGCAAGCAGCAATGCTTGGTTAAGCACATTGCCCTAGATTATCGACAGGAGTTTCCAGACCAGGACACTCACTGTGTGCTTTTCAGTCCGCCTGTTGTACTTTGTTGCCTTCTCTGACTGGCTGTGTGTCTGCTCGTTCACTTCTCTATACTACTCAGTTATGTGGGGGAAGGGAGTAGGTAGATGTGCACGCACACTTATGTGGAACAAAACAAACAGCAGGAATTGTGGGAGCTGTAGGAAAAGCAGCTGCTAGACAAGAGACACTGACCTTATGGACTCAGTGCTCTGATCTACTACATTCCTGGGCAGAGAACTAGCTGATCTGGTTGTCAGTGATTTAAGCATGAGGAGTTCTGCATGGATCTGCCATGTGAAACTGCTGGAGAACACACACCACAGAAGACCCGATCCAGAAAAGGGAAAGGCCAGGTGAACATAACACACTTCTCATATATTGGCCATAAATGTGAGAATAGCACAACTGACAACAGGTCTAATTTTTTTGAGGGGGAGGGGGAGGAAGAGGGATACTAGGTGTCTGAACCTCGTTAACCATCTCACCCATCATACGCCCCACTGACTATCCTCTTGTTATCGAAGCGTATGCATCTCACCAACTCCTCATGGCCTTCCAGTACTCGTAAACACGCTCCACACTCGATATCCCACAACCTGGAAGAGATTAGGAAGAAGAGGAGAGAAAGTCTGAAAATCCCTTACTGCAATGAAATATTTGGTTTCAGATTATAATTGGTCAACGGGTTCTCTGGAAATAAAGATCCTGATGGCGCAAATGTGGAAGGTATTGAATTCATCACCCCACAACCCCACCACTTTTTTCCTGCAGCTCAGCTGGAGCATATTTTTCAAAGAAAACCCTGTTACGTTACATTCAGGTTCTAGTGGGTACGAGGTCAAGTGACTTGACACATGGCAAACCAGTGACTCTGAATAGTCGGCCCTGGCTCCTAACCTGTGCAATCTCCTTGCTGTTCTGGGGGAGGACGCGCAGCAGCACTGCTCCAAAGCGCCTCCCTGCCCCGGAAGCAGCTGCCGCCTGAGAAGGGCTCAGCTTGGTGGGATGTTTTACACAGAGGCAGAGGTGTAGCCTTAGTGCATAGGGGTGCTGGGGGAATGATTCACGTTTTAAGGCCAGAGAGGCCAACAGATCATCAAGCCTGAACTCCTGTATTACACAGGCCAGAGAATTTCACCCAGTTACCCTGTATTGAGGATAATAACTTGTTTTTGACTAAAGCAAGTTCCAAAAAGGCATCCAAGTCTGGATTTGAAGCCATCAAGAGATGGAGAATCCACAGCTTCCTTTGGAAGCTTGTCCCAATGGTTAATCACGGTTAAACACTGGTGTCTTATTTTTAATTGGAATTTTTCAGGCTTGAACTTCCAGCAATTGGTTCTGGTTAAGCCTTTCAGTACTAAAGAAAGAGTCCTTTAATATCCATTATTTTCTCCCTGTGAAGGGACTCCTACACCATGATCAAGTCACCACTTGATCTTTCTTCTCTTTTCTCTACTGATAGTTTATATTTGGAACAATGAAACACCCTGGCCTCAATGGCTCCCTGTATTGAGTTTTTGGGTTTAAATGCCTTGAAACATGATGGGCCCATTCCTCAGCTGGAAAATTTGACTTGCATCAGTTGAAGAACTGACCTGAAATCCCACCCAAATAATTTTCAGACAGACTATATCTCTAAGGAAGACAAACTTCAATTTCCTACTCTTTTGTACACTCTATATTTACAGAATTGGAAAATCTTTTAAAACACTCCCTTCTGAAAAAAAATTCTTAGGGAGTCTAAAGGTTTTCAGCCTCTAGGACATCAAATTTCAGAAGTTACAAACTTCAAATTTCACATCATACCTCACCCAACTGAAGGCCAACATCTTGTATCTCATGTAAATTAAAATCAAACATACATCAAGACATCCACATAGATTACTTAGTAAGCTGCACTCTTATCACCTTCCCACAGATACCCACCCTCAACCAATGCTTGTGGAAGGCTGGCAGAGTAAGTGAGCAGGTAAACCTTTCACCATGACTTGAGGGCCACTGGACTTGGGTTCAGCTAAGATTCACTGCCAACTTTCATGAAATTATAGCACAATTTATCTATCAACTAGGAATTTTATTCAGTGTAAGAATAAGAGTAACTGTATTCCTCTTTAGGTTGATTACTGTACTGAAATTTTTCTTGGTTATTACAAGTGGTATTTTAGCTGATTTTCTAAATGCTGTGATATTTAACTATTTTCTACTCCCATTTCTTTTGGCTCTGAGTTTCAAAGTACCGTACAAAAAAGGATTTATTCAAATTCAAGTGCACAATCTTCTTGCCACACTTAAGGGTGTTTTAGAAAAACAGCACAATGTAATCACCCCCCATTTCACTGTGTAAAAGGAAGCAGGAGTCAGTGCTCTCTCAATCTGGCTGGTCCTTTTACTAGGTCATGTCATCAAGCAGACAGCATGCAAAATTTGGCACAGCACAATTGGTTCAATCACCTTGTGGTGTCACAGACAGGAGTGTCAGCTTCCTGTGGAATTCAGAGGAGGAAAAGGTGGCTGCTTGTGGGGAAGGGCGCCCAGCAAACAAGAGCCTCTGTATTCACCACTGACAACAGAGGACTGGTAAAACAAGAAAGCAGACAGTCCATTCCCAAGTTTCAGCTGCAGGGAAAAGTTCTCCTCTAAACCAGCAGGTGACAGGTAAAAGGGAGGCAACCCAACCACTCATTTGTATGATCCAGGCACTTACCACAGTCAGTTTCACGTCGATTCAAGTTTACTGAACAACGCTAGTTAAGGAGATAATGGTACATCCCTCTAGTTGCAGCTGCATGATGTACCAAGAAATCCTGACTCCCGGCATGAAATGGGTTACATCTCAGGCTGCCATTAGGGCAGCCAGGAAAGTGCAAGAGGGAGAAAACTGAACTTCATGCTCTCAACCAGCTATTCCAAACTATACCAGATGCCAAGCACCACAAGAGGAGTTTGGTGTGAGCCCAGGAGATTTCTGCAGAGGATTAAATGCTTCGTATTGCATGTCTGACCCAGCTTGCCAGCTATTTCACTCACCAAAACTGTCTAACCAGCCTGACTTGCTGATTAGTATGGCACTCGTGAGATAGGGAGGCTACAAAGCAATGCAGAAAAATGGCTTTCTATACCCCCCTTCAGTAGTTCACAGCATTCTACAGCAAAGGCTGCTCAGTTCCAGGGAAAATGGGCACAGATCATTTCGGATCAGCTCTGTTATTTCGGTTATCTAACTTCGGCATGTCCCAAGTGAACCGGAGACTATGGCCTTGCAGGAAACGAGAACACCGTGCGCAAAACTCCCTGATGGGAACTTGCCTCTCACCTGATAGTGTTATCTGAAGAGCCACTCACTACTAGCCGATCTCTGTACTGCAGACACGCGATGCCTCGTTTGTGGCCATTTAAGGTGCGCACAAACTCGCAGGTACTAGTGTTCCAGACCTGAGATGGGGAGAGAAAACACACAGGGCCTAATTATTAAGAGGTAACTAACGGAGGGGAGGGACCTGTGGAGAAACAGGTGTGTCCGGAATGTTCAAAAAGTCATCACAACCTCGAGGTCACAAGTCAAATTCAAGACATTGTTGCTGACGTAGGGAACACTACCTTACCAGTGACACATGGCTACAGACTTCTACAGTTAACAGACTGACTCTTCATACACAGAGCTTTTATTGTATTATATTAGGACTTGTTCCCAAACTAAACCATAGCACTTTCGAAACCGATTAATAGTTTATGTATGAATTGGCTTTTTTCTGAGTTTTAACATCGCCAACTCTTACGTTCTCAGGAATCTGGTCATTCTTTCTGGTTAACAATGACAAGTGCTGTAAGTAAGCAACCTCTGAAATTTCTTACCTTTATAGTCCTGTCACCTGATGCTGACACAATGTACTTGTCATCAAAGTCCACTACGTTGACAGCAGCTCTGTGTCCTACCAGGACCCTCCGCAGGGTAATGTCTGTCGGGGAAGCCATGTCCCAGACGGCAATGGAACGGTCTTTGGAACAAGTCACCATCATGCCATTGTTAAAGCGCAGGTGAAGCACTGCTTCACAGTGGTGAATCAGCGTGTTTAGCATCTCGCCGGTATTTACATCCCACACCCTGAAATCCACACAATATTTCAAACCAATGGAAGGGAAAGAGGGTGAAAAAGAAATTACGTTTGATTTTTCTGCAGGAAAAGAAAAATCAAGTCTTTGGTTTTATTACAAGCAAACATCACATACTAAACCTAGAATCTGCTGAATAGTTCACAACAAGATATATCACATAAACGAGCTGATTACGAAAATATTAAAGGAGTCCAGCAACCAAAAAACCTGCAATGCAATTAGCCCCATAACAACAACACAGCAAAGCGTTTTGTAATGAAGTGACTGTGTAGTGCTGATGAAAGGTACCAGACTGACAGCCCTGGAGATTGAAGTCCCCTGTTAGCTCTGCCGGCAGCTCTCTCCACCCCCAAAGTTATGCCTATCTACCCTGACCTGGGGAGACCCAGTGCTAGAGGCAAGTTCACCCCCCAATGGTCCATTCAAACTTCACCCTTGCTGCTGGGACTGCCAACAAAGGGGACAATTTTCTGTAGTAGCAGAAGACCAGAGTGTGCTTTTTCTTTGTTAGCAAATCTAAAAGAATCATTAAAAAAATTACACTATTGGGTTAGATGGGGTTCTAACAGCAGCAAATTATTTATCCTGAAAACACACAAAGGAACACTACTACGTTTCAGGAATTTGTTGACAAGGCAGAAATTAATACAGAGTTTTTATGTCAATTGACCATTAATAGGTATAGTCTATTACACACAAAGGATAACTTGTGGTTAAAAGAATCAGGAACGTGCTCAATTTAAAGAGCTTCTAGGACAGGCGTCGGGGATATTAAAGTTTAAAAAGCGACACAGTTCCTTTTGGTGCATTGTTTGTGAAGGTCTTTACCTCAAGGCAAAATTCCGTTCAGCAGCTTCCTGCAGCACTATCATCCCCTGAACCCCAGCTACACTAAACTCCAGCAGCATAATGGCTGTATTATCCAATAGCAAAAGGCTGTGGAAATTGAATCCCTCCTCCCTTAACGAAGCTTGCAATTAAACACGGCAGGGATGTGAAGGAGAGGAAAAATGTCACTCATGGTTATGAAATACAAACGGTTGTTTCATATGCTACAGTAACAATGCCCACGTTCCATTCTATGAATCCGATGAAGTGGGCTTTAGCGCACGAAAGCTTATGCTCAAATAAATGGGTGAGTCTCTAAGGCGCCACACGTCCTCCTGTTCTTTTTGTGGATACAGACTGACCCGGCTGCTCCTCTGAATTCTGTTTTGTGTGCTCTAACCCACCATGAAACTTGGGCTGTAGCAACTCTCAGTCCTAAAAACCAGGGGTTTCTGAAGAGTGCATGCCACCTCCCATAACCCCTCTCAAAGAGACAGCTTTTCGAGTAGGCTCTGGATGCCTCCCTCCTGTCACAGGGCAAGCTTATTTGAAAATGCAAAGTGATACCTACTGTGATGCTGGGAGAGCAGGTGCCAGCTCACGTGAAGGTCCCCATGTGTGAACTGAACACTGACAAACATATACCTAAAAAAACAGGAGGACTTGTGGCACCTTAGAGACTAACAAATTTATTAGAGCATAAGCTTTCGTGAGCTACAGCCCACTTCATCGGATGCATGCAGTGGAAAATGCAGTAGGAAGATTTTATATACACAGAGAACATGAAACAATGGGTGTTACCATACACACTACAGCAAGAGTGATCAGTTAAGGTGAGCTATTACCAGCAGAGGAGAGAAAAACAAAACAAAAAACCTTTTGTAATGATAATCAAGATGGGCCATTTCCAGCAGTTGACAAGAACGTGTGAGGAACAGTAAGGGGGGGAAAACAAACATGGGGAAATAGTTTTACTTTGTGTAATGACACATCCACTCCCAGTCTTTATTCAAGCCTAACGTAATGGTGTCCAGTTTGCAAATTAATTCCAATTCAGCAGTCTCTCGTTGGAGTCTGTTTTTGAAGTTTTTTTGTTGAAGAATTGCAACTTTTAGGTCTGTAATCGAGTGACCAGAGAGATTGAAGTGTTCTCTGACTGGTTTTTGAATGCTATAATTCCTGACGTCTGATTTGTGTCCATTTATTCTTTTACGTAGAGACTGTCTGGTTTGGTCAATGTACATGGCAGAGGGGCATTGCTGGCACATGATGGCATAGATCACATTGGTGGATGTGCAGGTGAACAAGCCTCTGATAGTGTGGCTGATGTGATTAGGCCCTATGATGGTGTTTGGTAGATGTGCAGGTGAACGAATAAACACCATTACAGACCTAAAAGTCGCAATATTACAACAAAAAAACTTCAAAAACAGACTCCAACGAGAGACTGCTGAATTGGAATTAATTTGCAAACTGGACACCATTACATTAGGCTTGAATAGACTGGGAGTGGATCTGTCATTACTTAAAGTAAATTATTTCCCCATGTTTATTTCCCCCCCCCCCCACTGTTCCTCACACGTTCTTGTCAACTGCTGGAAATGGCCCATCTTGATTATCACTACAAAAGGTTTTTTTTTTCCTCCTTCTCCTCTGCTGGTAATAGCTCACCTTAACTGATCACTCTCGTTGTAGTGTGTATGGTAATACCCATTGTTTCATATTCTCTATGTATATAAAATCTTCCTATTGTATTTTCCACTGCGTGCATCCAATGAAGTGGGCTTTAGCGCACGAAAGCTTATGCTCAAATAAATTGGTTAGTCTCTAAGGTGCCACAAGTCCTCCTGTTCTTTTTGCGGATACAGACTAACACAGCTGCTACTCTGAAACATATACCTGGAATCAGTCTGGTTCACCTGTGTGTTAGTATTTTTCAAATAGGCATTAGAATTGTAAGAATGTATTTAGACTTTACTGAATGCTTGTGAGTGAAATTAATCTTACTTATAGCATCTGTATCCCTTATTGTAAGGTAATATTTGAGTGGTTGTATTGTGAGGCTCTGTGACTCTGTAAATCCCAGACAGGAGAGAGACATTAACTAGTGTGAAGTGCTGATCTCCAAGGAAGGTGTTAGGAGGTCCATCAACACCTGACAGACTTCTGTGGGATTATAAAGAATACAAAAGATGTTTGTTGTCCATCGCATCCCCCCCACCCTACATGAAGATGAGCCATGCAAGTGGATTCCTCCCATCAGCTGAGCTTGCAGCTCAGAACACATGGTGGGGGAGGGAATAATAAATCCCTAACAAGAAGGAACTGGATCTCTGTGCTACTTGGACTCTGGTGGCAAGGTTTTTAGGCATAAGCAAGAGGTCCCCAGTGCCCAGCCTGGGTTAGCCCTAATGGTCATACAGAGCTTGTTGACTATAGAAGCTTCTATTACTTTTTGACACTTAAGCTTGCAACACATTTATGCATCTATATTTACCTGCTTTAACCATGTAAATAACTCGTTTCCTTTTCCTACTTAATAAATGTGTAGGTAGTTTATTGTAGGATTGGCTACTAGCATAGTCAGTGAGATCTAAGGTGCGACTGACCTCGGGTAAGTGACTGGTCCTTTGGGATGGAGTAATCTGAATATTGCTGTGATCCGTTGTGTAAAACAAAGGCAGGCTCAATTGGGTGGGGAGCTGGATCAGAGCACCCAAGAGGACTGTCTGTGACTCCATGTTTAGGCTGTTATAGCACCTGAAGAGTTTCTCTCTGATATTTAGTTGGTGAATTCTAAGTATAGGACGCACAGCCAATTTGGGGCTTGTGCCCTGCTTCCTGACAGGGTACCCGGAGGTTGGTACCCATGCTCTTGAGCCACTTCAGGCAGCGTTACACCTGTCATTTGGGATATGTCCACACAGCTCTGGGAGGGTGCTTCCTAGTGCAGGCAGGCAGACACGCGAGCTCTCCTTGAGGTCGCACACTGAAAATAGGAGGGAGGCCACAATGGCCTCGGCAGCAGCTTGGGCTAGCCACCTGAGTACAAACTCCCCCAACTCCCAGGGTACATATTTGTAGTTTGAAGCGCTGACTGTACCGCTGTGGCCATGCCATGAAGTATACTAGCTGCTGTGGCAGAATACCTTTGGTGCCTACCAAAGGCAAAATTTGCTCTGCATGAGCCCAGGATAAGAGTTATTGCTGGCTTGGAAAATTTAACAGTAAGAAAGAAAGAGGGGATGAACTCACTCCCACCTTCTTTTGAGTCACTGCACCTCAAAGGAAATGCGATTTGGTGAAAACGCACATCACAGCTGGAGTCTCACATTCATTGTGCCCACTCTTTTCAATCTGAAAGCACAACTTACAACGTTCCCATCTCCGCACAAAGTTACGGAAACCACACGCCTTCCCACTGCATTTATTTAAAGGCATGTCTACCGTGCTCATCGCTGAGTTATCTGAGCACCAGGCATTGGCATTACAAAACCCTCCTGGGAAAATCACACCCTCACATTGCAGAACAACATAAGAATCTCACTCCATCCAGCAGACATCCAAAAAATGCCAGGAAGAGCTAGGCAGTAAGTATATTCTCCAGGGGAGGCCTCTCTCTTGCACTCGTGGGGAGCCAGGCATACTGCACTGTGCATGTGTGTGCATATGTACACCTTTATATCCGTCCATAAACAGCCCACACTTTATTGCTCGGTAGAGAGCACACAGCTGAATGGTAGGGGGTCGCAGCTATGCACTAGGGCCCAAGTGAATCTGAAGAACTCAGCCTGAAGTTCACGTACTAGTACATCATCTGGAGGTCAAGAATCCCAATCCCAAAGCCCTGCACAGATAGAGAGATTGGTAAGTAGTTCTGAGTAACCAATTCAGTGAAAATCATGGAGCCCCAGGCTGCGGAGACAGACACCCGTTCATGGTGGAAAGCACAAAGACGGCCGACTCCAGTATGTGAAGGAACGAAGGCTGTGGACTACAGAAATGTGCCATTAGAAAATCAGCAGTATACAGAAAGGGCTGTCAAACTGAGCAGGAGCTAGTGATCTAATGACTTACCTGGTCAGGCGGGTCCCTGAGATTTTGTATTGGAGAAACGTTAAAGTCCATCTGTACAGCCAACTGGATGAAGCCCTCCTTCTCAAGGGCTAAAAGTGTTCCATCGTTGAGCCTCTGGGGTCAGTGCACATATTTATAGATACAGCGGGAAATGAAGTATTCTAGGCAGTACCCAGTCTGCAGTTTGACCTTCCCACCATGGACTGGGAAACAACAGAGTCTTTCACATCGGTCAGCCTTTTCTTTTGTACTCAGAGTTAAACATAATGCTGCCCCATCCGATCTCAGCGCTGGTTAAATGTCCCAGTAAGAGATGTGGCATGAATTCTGGATTTATGCAAATAGTAGGAACCAACAGAACTCCCAGCGCCACAAGCTTGTGTGCGCAATACGCAGGGGTTGAATTTTAGGGTCACCTGCTTATGACTGGTGGCTTCAAAATGAGTTTCGGCAACAACAGAGAGGAGGAGCCTGCAGCCACGGGAACAGGAGCATGAGTGCAAATGCTGCAGAAAAGGCAAGTGACATAACTTTTGGCCTGCTTTCAACAGTGCTGCTTGGAGCTGCATAGTTCATACTCAAGCAGAAAGAGGGGACCTCCTACTCACACTGGCACAGGGAGACCTATTCTTCTGGCCAAGCTCTATCCTTCTTCCCCAGCCAAGGGAGAAATGTCCCTCCCCCCTTCCTGCTCTACACAATAGTGAGCTGGTGAGTCTCTAGTTCAACAGCTGAACATGTATTTCCAGATATTTTCATTTCGTGAAGTGATCTCATTACAATTTTGCCCACTCTAGTCTCCTGAACTAGGCCCTGTGACCTTCCCATCTGGAGAGTAGATTCTAACTTGAACTGTCCAGCCTTGCAGCATGGGTTTGGCGATGAGCGAAGAGAACAAGGTCATAGAGTGGTAAAAAACCATTTAGTTGAAATTTAATAAAGACACACAGGGAATCTAGCCAGGCATCTTGTGTTAAATCTAATGGAAGAGGTGTGGCTAAAACCCCTGCATGGCTTTGAAAACCTAACCAAGGTCTTTAAAAAATCTCTACCCCAGGGCAGATTCTTAGTAAATTCTTAGTAAAAATTCACAAAAGTCTCCTTAACCCAGCTTGGAAATCTCCAGTCTTTGCTTATTTTCCATTTCCCTGTAATAGGCAGCAACACTTGAGTGGCAAATTGATTTTTAAACAAGTAGGGCTTCTTGCTAGAAAGGAGCTCACTGGGACGACTCCGTGAAAAAGGCTGAACAGAGAACAAGTAAAAAAAATCTTTTCAGTACCGTCTGAGGGCACAAAGCTCAGTTTCAGAAGTACATACCTGACGGTTGAATCAGAAGATCCAGTAATGATCACCCGCTCGTCATACTGCAGGCACAAGACGGAACCTGTGTGTCCAGTCAGAATTCGCTTGCATTCCAATGTATTCTTATCCCAGATCTAGGGTGGCAAACAGCCACAAACAGCCTGGTAAGTAAGACGTTCATCACTGTATAAACGGTGTCTGTTGCTGGGCTGGCTGTTTCGGTTTTTATTACATACTGTTTGCGGATCGAGCTTCCTTAGTAGCACAGAATGCACTTTGTTATTCCACGGGAGCTTTGGTGCAATATAAAACATTCTTAATATCTCTGGTTTTAATATAAATACAGGCTCTACGCTTCTCATCAGGGAACAGGGTCGCCTGTCATGACGGGAGGACCAACAACACTGCTAGCAAAGTCCGTTCTATAAGGAAGCGGAGCATTTCTTGCCAGGTGAGACAGATTTACAGACGTTTCCGGGGGAAGGCTACCTTGTGTGCGCCAAAGAAAAACTCGCCTGGGCTAGTCCAGTGTTTCTCAACCTTTGTGACACCAGGGACCAGCTTGCTGCCTTCCTGAATGGTGTCAGGGAGATTGCAGGGACTGGCGCTGGTCCACGGACCCGTTGTTTAGAACTGCTGGGCTAGAGCACCTTCTAAAAAGTCTCTTACCAACTGCTTCCTCCCACACTGAAATTAGGACACAATATTCATAGATTCATAGATATTTAGATCAGAAGGGACCATTATGATCATTCAGTCCGACCTCCTGCACAATGCAGGCCACAGAATCTCACCCACCCACTCCTGCAATAAACCTCTCACCTATGTCTGAGCTATTGAAGTCCTCAAATCGTGGTTTAAAGACTTCAAGGAGCAGAGAATCCTCCAGCAAGTGACCTGTGCCCCATGCTACAGAGGAAGGCGAAAAACCTCCAGGACCTCTTCCAATCTGCCCTGGAGGAAAATTCCTTCCCGACCCCAAATATGGCGATCAGCTAAACCCTGAGCATATGGGCAAAATTCACCAGACAGATACTACAGAAAATTCTTTCCTGGATAACTCAGATCCCACCCCATCTAATATTGCTCATGAAGCCTGCTTTACACACCCTAGCTTGGCCACCTTGGGGAGTTCTCACCTTGATAGTGTTGTCTCGCAGGCCACTTACTATCTTCTGATCGTCATACTGTAAACAATAAACCCCTTTGCTAGTTTCACTCCGGCAGTGGATTCTCTGTAAACTGTGCCTTCCACACCGCCAGTTTGATTCTATTGTCTTGGGGACGGGGAGCAGAGAAGAAAGAGAAGCAAATTAGAGAAAGTCCTGTTACACTTCCCAACAAGGCAGCCCATTAGATGATACAGCATGCTCCCAAGGGAAGTGGTGGTGGGGGAACTAAGGCTAGAGTGATTTATAATGACAAAGTGCTGGAGAGTATAGCATGGTGAATGTTGTTGCATGGGCCATGTTGGGGATCCACAAAATGACCTAAAAGGTTTTTTCCATCTCTAACTTCTGTGACTCTGTGGAGCGTTCAACAAGAGGACGCTCAGTGACTAAAGAAAAGCAAAAAGATCTAGATCTAGCCGGTGGTTATATGGCCTCAGTGATCAGAGCAGCTGAGCACCTCTCCTGCAATTAAGAGTTCAAGCACAGACAAGAGTTGGTACCTTGCACAGAACTGGTGCCACATGTTTGATGCCCTTCTCTTTGAATTTCACGGACTGTCCTCTCCGGCAATGCACAGGTCTCCCTGGCTCAGCTCTGGCACCTCACCACAACCTCTCACTAGGCCTCACTATTTTTTCATAGAAAGAGCCATGAGATGCCTGAATGCTGTCCAGCTGCTGCTATGACACCATGTATGCTGTGCAGATTCACCAGAATCTGCTACTTTAAATACATCTGACAGCTCATGCAATTACATTCAGGGAAGGGAGTCGCTAAGCCCTATGATCTTTATTTGACAACTCCAAAACACGTGAATTTGGGGCAAAACATATGTATGCCATGTGCAACATTTATCAAAACCAGTGTGAGGGTTTTGCTGACATTTTAACAAATCAGAAAGTTAAAAACCATACAAAATGAAACGTTTGTTTCTTACCTCTATGTCCTGTATAATTTTTGGATAAAGTGCTCTATAGAAGGAGTTGGGTGGGGCAGTCCCATCAGGTGGCTTATTTTTAAATAGATACTGTCCCCTGGAACACAAGAAACATTTCCCATTCAACACAGTCCACTTTTCAGCAGTGTTGGGCAAAGGTTTCTAAGGCACTTTACTAGATGCATTGCTGACCGTAGGGGCAGGGGACTGATTAGCATTCAGGCATGGTGGGCTCAGTAAGCACTGTTTGACCTGCTCTGTGACTGGGTTGTATTTGGATACGTGACAAATTCGGATATGTGACAAATTCAAAACAGGTATTAGCAGACACCTAGGGAATTGCAAATGTGTAATGCATATAGGTCATGAGCCACTATTGCCCAGTATGTGAGTAATAGTGGTTCATACGTCCCCTGGCTTCTGTAGCTACTATGTGTGTCACTTTTAAAAGAAGGGGATCAAACCTTCATAACTGCCAGTGAAGTGGGGGAGGGTCTGCAGGGAAGGCCAGCAATGGGAGAAAACTAAGGAAGGCAGGCCCCCCAAAAATATGTTACGTGCCCAAGGCTTGAAAGCTGCATTAGCAGGAGTGACATCTGCTTTGGCACATGGACATTTTACGGCTGCTGCTAGATTCTGGTAAGCAACATTTCATTAGTGGCTCCTTCCTCATTTCAACACAGATTTGGAATACTCATATCCCAAGCTAGATTTTTGCTTCAAAAAAAATTCAGTAAACGGCAATCACTTCCTGCTGTGTAAAGAACTTTAATTCCTCATCCTGAAGTTAAGAAGTCACCAAACACGGTGTGGAAGCTAGTAAACCCTACCATGGGCGTACTAACTGCTGTTTTGCCTGGCAACATGCCTTGCGAAGTGGAGATAGGCACAAATGCCTCGGAGTGTAATCCTGGCATCAGAGGCATGGCGTTTACACTGGGCCAGCTCTCTGCTCCTCCCCTCCACTACTCCATTACAGCATGATTAATTGTTCCAGATCCCCATGTGCCTTTCTTGTCTGTCCCTTCCTCACAGTACACCTTGAAACTACAGTGCACCTTGACAGCTTGGGCCTCAGCTATACATACCATGAAACCTGCATCAGAGAAGCTACAAAAATGATCTGAAGTTTTTAGTTTATAAGGACAACAAAATAGAGTGCTGAACAAGCATCTGAAAGCACACAAGGGGAACGGCATATATTTAAATTCCCTAAGAAATTAGTTTAAACACATGTTTTGGGGCAGAGCAGTTTTCAGCTCCATACTTAGAAGGCTGCAGATTTTCAGACTACAAGAAGCATCAGCCATTAACAGCACTGGAATAAAGGTTTGTGTTTCCGGTCTCACTCTCCAGGATGTGTGCACATGACCAGATAGGCACATGCATGCAAGCAGGCAATTGTGGGTCCAGGTCCTAATCATTGCAGAGAGAAGTTGATACAGTATTTGCACATGTGGAGTGCTTTTAGAAGAGTGAAGGTTAATCACAGGGGCAATGTTTTGAAGACTTCCTGGGGAGTCCTGGAGGCTCTTGGAAACTGCACATGCTTTGGAGGTGGGGACAATGCTTGACCCAGACCCTGGAACATTTAGGTTACATCTGGGTTGGTCTTCAAATAGAATCAATTGCGGTTTAGCTAAAGAAGTGCTTGGAATCATATAGAAGTAACTATTTCATGTCCCCTCCCCAGCTGAGGACAATCGGACACTGCAGGGGTGCCCCAAGGACAGAGCCTGAGGGACATGTAACCATGTACTTTCTCTCTCTCTATATATATGACTGTAGGGTAAAAGGAACTCAACGACTAGAAAACTGAATGTCTTTTGGTCACTATCGAGACAGACACAAACAGTGCCCAGGTATGTTTGTTTTTTTATAGTAAATTTTCTATAAATACTTGTGCCAATCCATATGACCCCACTCATTCCTGGCAAGTTGTCAGTGTGGTCCTTTGTGCTGCAGAGTTTGGGCTCTCCTGTCGTAAGGTACCAGGAAGCAAGTGATGAAATCAAGTGGTCCATGCACCGAGCTAAGTGAAGAGCTTTAAGCGAATGACACCAGTCATCTATCATTCTGAACTGTCCATCTATTCACTTCCCTGTGCCATCCAAAGCACTGATTCCAAGCTACAAAGTGCTATATGGCAGGTCCCCAAGTTAAATTAGATATTGCCTGCCTCTTTTCCCCACCCAACTGTTCCTAGGGTTAACCCCCTCCTCCCTATCAGAGGATATTCTCCCTGGGAATACATGCTTGGGGAATTCCATCCTGCAACCAACTTAAACAGGACACAGTGCAATCCTGAGGGAGCAGCATAATGATGGGGGTGGAGGGGTATACTGCTGACCTTCAAATACCCATACGATCAGCAATGGGCATCAGTGTAAAATTCTGAATATAGAATGAAATACAGGACTGGGGTTTCTCTAAATACAGAATGAAATACAGATAATCATGGGAAAAAGAAAAGGAGTACTTGTGGCACCTTAGAGACTAACAAATTTATTTGAGCATAAGCTTTCCTGAGCCACAGCTCACTTCATCGGACTAACACGGCTGCTACTCTGAAAGATAATCATGGGGCTTCTGTAACATTTCCCCTTGTGTCTGCAGCTAATACTGTCATGGAAAGGAGTACTGAACACTTCTGATAATCACTATGCTTCTGGAAGCAGATTTGCATAGTATTAAGGACAGTTCATAATCATGATTTACTTGTCTTTGTAATCTGTGACAAACAGTGTAACAAAATGAACTTCAACACACAACAGAATTTTTGTTTGCAACTTTGTATCTTTTTTTTCTTCTTAATAGCAACTAAAATGCCTAAGCTGTCACTTTTATCTTGTTTATGAAATATTCATACCCAGCTTTTTTGCCGCTAACATCCTGGGGACACCCTTGGAAAAGAAAATTATGTATTAAAGGGCTTACCCTAGAGAGGGAAAGTTCTAATGAAGTGTTAACAGAGCAGCTTCAAACTCAAGGGAGACCCTCGGAAGGCTATTCCAGCTGATTATTAACTCATCTATCTGCATTTCTAGAGTCCCCTACTCTCCACGGTACCTACCCTCGGATTCCAGTTTGAGGATTGCACAGATACAGCGTAAAGTGAAAGTTTGCTGAGGAAACACTAATTCATACCACACGCCCCAGCTCCTAATCCTAAAAATGTTTTTCTGCTCTGAACTGCTGGTGAGTTTATTGACCTTCTTAGGCATATGCAGCTTCTTACTATGAAACTGAATGAGAGGCTGAACAGATTCTACAGTTTTATCTCTCACTCATTACTGAGATACTGGAGCACCAGTGAGAGGGGCAGGGAAAAACACGCGAAAAATTGGTGGTAGAACCAAAAACGACCAACCTCCCCAATCCCTGAATTTTGCTGTAAACAAATGTCAAACTAGAAACAACAGGGGCTGACTACAAATGTAGCATTACACACACACCATCCACTGTCCTAGATGGGTAAGAAAGCTGAATTTGCAATTCCCTCACCATCCTCTCCTCTCTGCCAACCCTCTCCACAACGAGTCTGTCCTGACCATTCTCTCAATAAGTTTCTTCCACAGCATGCCATCAGATGTCACCCGGTACCATTCCTTACACACCAGCTCAGCAGCACATAATGATTTGGCATCCAGGTACGACAGTATGTTCTCCGCAATGTGATCCAAACCCCGAGCTGGGAAAAAAAAAAGAGAGCATTAGTCATTGGGGAGATCGTAAGACAGTTTAAACAACTCCCCTTGTCTATTATGGAGATGCAGTCTCTTTCCTATCACTGCTCATCCATTCCCCTGTATGCAGAGCTGGACCAAGTTCACAGAAGAGTATTTGCTGCTAAGTTCAGGAACAAACAGTGTTTTCCCAACTTGTTTTGGATCAAACACAACAAGGCATTAAAAATAATAAAGAATCCAGGAAGTCATTCCAATCTATTTCTATGGGTTTTAGCACTAGGGGGATAGTCTATGGATGGCATTTCCAACGCAGCGATGCAGCCCCCAAAATATCTCTATATTAGGACCATTTCTCATCTTGCTGCTACAGCTGTTCTCATGTTCCAATGTCTCAAAAGCTGTTTTTGCTAAAGTAGTAGCTTTTGAACGTAATGAAGAAAAAAATATATATTCCCAGTGTGTACCCTGAAGGGTAGTGGTACCTTTAGACATGGGAGGGGGGAAGTATATGCAGATGCATGGAGGAGAGACAGTCTAAGGAGAGAGTGAAGCAGGTTTGCTGGTATCATTTATTTCAGTAGGTGGAAGAAAGCGTATGCTGACACTTTCATTTGCAAACATTTTCCAGTGTGAATACCAGAAGGGTTGCTTTGTGTTTCAATAGTGCTGCAGTCAAATGGAAGACAATTGACTCAAAAAAATAAAAGGGCACTCGACCAATAGCCTGGTTAACACCCCAGTGGATATATAATAGGATAAAATGTTGGACTACAGTGGGGGGTTCACCCTGTGTTGTTTAAAGTGGACGGGTTTATCCATTACAATTCTCTACCACCCCCTCAAACCTAATCTGCACAGAGGCCTCAGAGGAATAAGATGCCTATAAAATAACATGGTTACACTAATAAAGCTTCTCTTGGCTGCTGTTCTAATTCACAAGTGAGACAGCAACAGTGAGGGGGTTATTGCTCTTCACAGATCACATTTCAGAGGCTTCACAGAAGCTGTAGTTCAGAGGAGTCCGCCCTCCCCCAAGCACAAAGTTCTGCCCAACAAAGAGCAAGCATGCCAGATCGGTATTACATGCAACTTCCCTCCTCTCCCTAACGAAACCCACTAAACATCCGGAGTGGGATTAAATACCTCTTTTCTTACTCTTATTACAACAGCCTCAAAGACTGAGCCCCATTTGTCAGCAGCACAGAAGTAGGAAGCAGTAAATGAATTGTGACTGGTTGAGTCACATGTCCATACTTAAGCAGATGGAAAGGGAAGCATGTATCAGCTGATTCTTATCAGAGTTCACAGGACACTATCTATTCTAGCTTTTGTGTCAGACTGATAAATTAAAAGAGATCTCAAAATTGGCTCCTCATGCATGAAAATGATATAACACAGCATGGCTCCTGATTCCTTCCCTTATTCCTAATGCAACAGTTTAAAACGTAGCCACATGCAGAGAAACAATTTTATGATGCTTTGGGCCCAATCCTCCACCGCCCAACGCCTTGTATCATTTACAACTGTGCAAAAAAGAGCATGCAGATGACGACACAAGGTACCAGGTGGTGGAGAAAGAGACCCAAACGTGTCTACACCGATGCAGAGTTGGGTGCTATATTGCAGTATTAACCCACCAGGGTTCCCAATTGTACAGTTTCAGTTTATACACATAGATATTACACATATAGCTTTACAAACTCTGTGAAAGAAGCTGGATTGATAGTTCTGAAGGCTGAAGTCCTCTGTTTATCAGTTGAGCAGGTGCAGGATGGGGAGTGTTTCCTCTAGCCACCCCTTATTTATGTGTCACAAACTTCATCTAGTGGGGAAAGGTGATGTCAGTTTGCTTTCCCACGGCCTGAAGCTTTCACTGACACCTTAGACACTGTGCGCCCATCCCTAGAGTTGACACCAGTAGTTTCAGGTGAATATACTGAGCTCCATAGGAATTCTGTATGAGGAAAAGAGGAAGGAAGGAGAAAGGATGGCAAGAAATGGGCCCACGCTGTAGAAGTTCTGCTTGCCGATTCCTAATCAATCCTCACCGATCATCCCTCTAGTTGTCCACCTCCCCCGACTCTCAGTCTCCAAATGGAGCCATCTTTAGTTGGTTTTTATTTTCATTGCTGTGATAGGTGTATTTCAATCACAGTAGTTGACTCAGATCACTGATCTTAGACCATTTTTATACAGAGATAACGGACCATTGTCAGAGAAAACTACCATCATACAACCCCCCTGCCTTGCCTCTAGTACTAATGGGGGGGGGGGGGGGGGCCTGGGGAGCAGGAGAAGAGGCAGAACCTATTTTAACAAGTGGCATGGTTACAAATCCAATGTTATCATTTGTTCCCAAGAAACGGTACAATTAATTTATAATATAAATTTTAAGGAATTTCTTATTTAGAGAAGCCACTTTAAAATGGACATTTTCCTTCACCAAAAATTATGGTAAATTAACTTGAAATGTGATTAGCTGTCTATTCTTCCTTTTCAAATTATCTTTCAGGACAGTACTGGTTTTACAACATAGTCCTAGGCAGAAAAGCTTTGTCTTCCTGAAGTTGAAAGAATCTTTCACTTACTTCACACACAAAAACCTGATGCAAAAAATGCATTTTCCCTCCCCAAAACACCACACACACATATTCTAAACAGTCTGGAAGTTCAAAGTTGAGGCTTCGCTTTTCAAAATCTGAACAAAGTACACAAATAAATACACAGTTAAAGTTACTCAAACAACCTTAACTCTGACCTCCACAGCACCAGGATAAAAATCAAACAATTTTACTCCAAGTTTAATAAATGTGTCTGATTGATGGATAAGAGGCAGTACTATGTGGGCAGAGTAGGTGGTCTGGAGAACCAGAATGAGAATTTGCCAACTTTCAGGGTTTTAGGGTGTATTTTGTGTGTGTGTGGTGGGGGCAAGGGGATGAGAGCGATAAAGTAGAGCTTGAACTTAACTTCCAGGCTTTTTAACATGTGTTTTTGTGAGAAAGCTACAAAGCTCTCCTGTGGGTTCTTTTTAGTTGAGGTGACATATTCATAATTCCAGGTGAGTCACATTTTTTTCTGAAAATTTCCTTAGGCTTTAAAAAATGTTTAACAATTGTCTGATCAGGAGAGTCACCGCAGTCCTTGCAAGCTGCCCACAGATTAACACAATTCCATTCCAGACAACCTTCTGCCTACTCATATGGCTTCTCACCTCCTATTCTCCTTACTGGAATCCTTGCCCTGCATGTGACATTTCTGCATGTGCACTGTACAGCCTGCAACTACATGCCCCTCTGAGATTCCTTGTCATTAAGGCCACATGTGTTGGGATATACACACTTTGGAAACATGCAAATTGATGCACACACATGCCACTTACCACTGTGCGCTTATTTAAATCACGGAATAACTGCTGTCTACATGCGGCAAACTAGAGAAAGGCCCCTCCCATCCATTCAGTACCACACAAAAAGTGAAGTTTGAAGGTAGCTCTATTTCATGGATACAAGCAGTGAATGACAAGGTAGAAACAGTTATTTACCTGTACTGTAACTGTTGTTCTTTGAGATGTGAGCGCAGACAAGTATTCCACTCAGGTGTGCGTGTGTCCAGCTCACCAACTTATAGGAGTGGTGCTCACGCCCTGTGGCCCTTCCCCTCCTCTGGCTACTCAAAATCAGTGCCATCCCAACCCCCTTAGATCCTTCACACCAAGAGTACAGACTCTGATGCAGAGCGGATGGAGGATGGGTCACGAAATATAAATCTGCACTCACATCTACAGTACAGGTAAGTAACTGCTTTTTCTTCGAGTGGTTGCAGATGTGTATTCCAATCAGGTGACTCACAAGCAGTACTTACATGAGATGGAGCTTGGAGTCTACTAAAACGACTGCGGGACTGCCTTCCCCGAGGTTGCATCTGACCTAGACACAGTGGTAATTGCGCAGTGCTTTGTAAAAGTACGTACAGAAGACCAGGCACTGGCCCTGCAGGTGTCCAATATTGAAACATCTCTGCGGAATGCTATCGTCGTTGTATGACCCTGTAATCTCAGAAGAGGCACCATCTGAGCTACTTCACATGCAGTTGTAATGCAGGAAGTTATCCACCTGGAAATCGTCTGCACAGAGACCGCCTGACCCTTCATTGGATCCGCATAGGAGATGAAAAGATGACCCAAAAAGGGCCCAAAAAGCTAAGTTCTCTCTAGGTAAAATGTCAAGCACTGTCTCACATCCAATGTGTGAGGTCTCTGCTCATCCACGTTGGAGTGTGCATTGTTAGGAGAGAACACCAGAAAGTAAATCATGAGGTTAAGGGCAAACAGTGAAACCACTTTAGACAAAAAATTTTGATGTGGCCTTAGGGTCACTTAGTCTCTGACAAACTGAGTGTGTGGGGGCTCTGCCATTAAGGACTGCAGCTTGCTTACTCTCCTTGCAGATGTTATAGCTACAAGGAAAGCTGTCTTTTGGCACAGGAGCGACAGAGAACAGGTTGCCAGGAGACCCCATAAGGGCAGCTAAGACAATAATGAGGTCCCACAAGGGAACTGGCTCTTTCACAGGTGGGTAGAGACAAATGACTCCTCTTAGAAATCTCACCACCATGGAGTTTGAGAAACTTGACCTCCCTTGGATGAGCAGATGAAACTCTGAGATCGCCATAAGAGAACCCTCAATGAGCTGAGCGACAGACCAGAAGACTGAAGGTATAACAGGTACTACAAGGTGTCCTGAATGCAGGCCAGCACGAGCTGAATTCCCCATGCTAGCCACCAAACTGAAAAGCGCTGCCACTTGTCAAATAAGAAGCCGTAGCAGAGGGTTTCCCATGAAGTAACACTTGTCAAACAGCTTCTGAACGCCAGTCCTCCTCTTAATTTTGCCATGAAGAATCCATGCTGTGAGGTGCAGGTTGTTCAGCGCCGGATGCTAAATCTGACTGTGGGGCTGGTTCAGTAAGTCACGATAAAGAGGAAGAGAGATGGGCAGTC